ATTGGGAACAGATGAAAAATGGAGTCAATATCGTAAAACAAATTTTTGTAAAATCCTTATACTCAAGAAGTTAAGTTAATTATTGAAGTTGTAGTACCGTCATTCGCGTTGTACTTTGTGCGTAATCGTTCTTTCTCCACGTGGCCCCAGGGGATTCCGAATACTGAGATCCGACGTTTTTGCGATAGTGTTTACATTAGTTTTTCAAGTGTCAAAAATAGTTTACGTGTATAGCAACTCAGAGTTGATGGATATCGTCTTAATTTATGGACAAAAACAAGACAACATTTGTGTTATGGTGAAGCATTAGTGTTATGGTGAAGTAAGACCACTTGTGTTTACACGTTGGCATCGGTGGACAAAATTTTGAACAGTTGTATTAGATATGTCAAATTATTTTATTAATTAAAACCACAAATTAATTTAATTAATTACTAATAACAATAACGGCAAAAGCAGTTGAATTTGCTGATATAAAATAGGTGTTATAAAATTTTATTTATTTCGAACTGCCTTTTTGATTTTTTTTACAAAATTGTATTTGTAAGAGTCCGCTGTACATTCAAAATCATCATTTTTTTTTGGATAAATTTTTAATCACCCTGTATATGAAAGAATTAGAACAATACTACTTATTAGATCTTTTTTTAGGGTAAAATCAACGATTTGACACTTGAAATAGAAATATATCAATCCTTGTAGTTTTTCAGAATAATTTTTCTTGCATCAAATTATAAAAAAGTACAATTATGTGACGATTATTATCGAATGTACTCATAGATTTATTCTGCTAAAAGTCTCCTTTTTGAGATTTCATAAAACCTCTTTTTAGACAAATGTAACCCTGTAAAAGGAATTTTAATTTAACAATTTCATTTCGCCAAAGTCCCCTGTCGCATAAAAAATATTTCGGTGTCATCCTTTATCAGAAATGTAAACTGAATAACGAATCAATCAAATCTAAAACATTTTAAATCTAAAACCCCCCACATCCCCATAGAAATAAATAATATACGGATGCGATAAATCATGTCTGTGTTTAGTATAATGCAAATGAAGCACGACTTTTATTATTCCAATTCGAATTGAAAAATATTCCACTACTTAGGGTATTATGCGTGATGAATGCTGAATAAATTGCAGAGTGGGCGGGAGATAAGTCTTATCCGTATTGTCTTTTTCACCTTGAAAAAGCTTTAAAATAAATCCAGGCGTTATAACTATCCTACGTGGGTAGTGTTTTATGTAACGCAAATGTTATTGTACCTAGAAAAACATCCATTGTCTCATATAAATTATGTTAAGGTATGGTAGGAATTCTTCATAGAATGTCAAGCAGATTTAGACAACTGTTTTTCGAATGAATGAATTAATTAATTATCTAGTTAATGTATTAATTGATTAATTAATTAATTAATTAACTGATTAATTAATTAGTGATAAAGTATTCAACTAGTTTTAAACAGATATTATATAATTATCATATTAATTAATTAACTGAATATTTAACTAATTACTTAATTAGTGAAAAAATATCCAACGGGTTTTAAACAGATATGATATATATAGTTTCATTTACTTATTGATCTTCGATAAGTTACTTCGTAGTACTGTTTACTTTAATAACCATCCATCCGTATTTTTTTTGTATCTTTGTTATTCAATACCTTCCTCTAAATCCATTATTATTTCAAGCTGATAGGATCACTTCAATTATTAAAGTTACGGCTTTCACACCCAAGAATGCCATTTACTAAATTGATATTTCAGAATTTTAAATTCAATATCGTGACTCTCCGTTATTAATGCCGATAATATTTTACCGATATACTTATTTTTGTAAAATTCATTAAAAAGAGTAGAATAATGAGAAGTGAAAAAACTGTAAAGTCAGTTATATTGAATGTTATTGTACTTTCCTGTACAAATTATGCGCGAATTGCAGAGTAATTCTTCTTTTATTGGGTCGAAAAATCTATTTTTTATCGTTGAAATTTAATCGGAATGGCATTATTGTTGACATTTTTTCACGAATTTAAAAAAAATTGTTTTTTTAACGACCAACAGGAGCCCAGAAATTTTTTTTTTATCAAAAAATCGCCATGACCATTTATATTAATATTAGCCGTAACGTTATTGAAAAAAAATATTTTTTTCTCGGCTCGTTGTAGGACATTTTTTTTAATTCGTGAAGAAATGAACTTTCAAACGCCAATATTGCCATTCCGATTAATTTCGACAATAAGAAAAAGATCTACATTTTTTGACCCAAAAAAGAAGTCAAACTTTTGGTAGATTTTTCACATATTTCCAATTAATTTGCAATCTGCGCACAATTTGCACAAGAAAGTACAACTATTAGAAAAAAATTTAAGTCCAAGATGGGTCACGTAAGTGCATTACTGTATGATTTATTGAAACTTGAAAAAAAATCATTTTTTCGAAAAACATAATTTTTGCTAAAACTATCAAATATTTTGCAATTTTATAAAAATTCACTTATTCAACTTGCCAAGGACTACATATTCTGAAAGTTTCGTAAAAAAATCTTTTTTCGTATTAAACATATAGAAGTTTTAAAAAATGCGATTTTTAGCCGTTTTTGACAATAACAAATACATATGTTTATCATTTGACATCGGATTGGGCTCAAAATTTTTGTTATAAAAAGTTGTACAAGTTTTGTCTAAAAATAATTTTCTACTGAGAAATTTTGTAGAGGATTAGATATTTTTCAACACAATACATCTTTCTTAATAAAGAAAATTTCGATAATGTGCCTCAAGTTTAAATAAATAATAATGTGTGGTGAATTTGCTAAATTAATTTAACTGTTTACCTTCTTTATTCAAAACCACAATTTCAATTTGCTTCAAACGTAGCAGAATTGTGCTTTCAAAAATTTTAATTAGATATGTCTAATCGACTAAAAATATATTGCAATGAACTTTCGTTAATGTGCCATTTAGAAACCTTTTGAAATTTTGTAATCTTTTATATCCAGTTAAGTGAATATTACAAATGTTCTCATGTCAAAATAAAGTTCATTGTTTTAATTAATATGTGACATATTGCTTAACTGTCTAATACATCAAGCTAACAAAACAATTAAATTAGTCAAAAGTTTTGCAATTATTGTTTAATTGCGATCGAAAAAGACCTCTTAATGTAGTTTATAGAATCGAATTTATGAAATATTTTAACCCACTATTTCGCGTATATTTTGTAACATATAAAAGTTCTTTATTCCCAAAATTATATTTTCATTGAAACAATTTTTGTTACATAGCGCGGACTGAATAATTATATTCCGTTAATATTTAAAGTCAGTAGTTCAAAAATTTAATTAATAATTAATGTTAAATTAAATGCGTATTGTTAAAATAGCATCTCTTTGTTTTGAGTAAATGTAATAAAATGTAGCTGCAATATTTAATTCAAATAAATTGGTAGAAAATTAATGCAACATAAAATATAGATTTACAAGTGAATGTAAAATTTAAAGAAAATATACACTACTGAAAAAATATTTCATAAATTTTTTAGTGACTTTTTTGAAGCTTTAAGATTTTGGTTTCAAGATCTTTTGACAAAAACTTTTTTTGAGCTATGATTATCGAGGAATCAAAAAAAGTACCTCGAGAAAATCTTCAATTTTTTTTTGGACGCCACGGATTCAAGAGAATTTTTTCAACCCAATCAATATAGAGACTAGTTAGCTTGCTTAATCAGCTTCAATTTGCTTTTCGAAAAGTGTCCGTGCGGGTTTAAAATATTTAAATAATTACATATTTCCATTTCTCTATTATTTTTTACCCAATATGCATAAATATATACCAAGAATTGCAATAGAAACTTAGCAACAGCTCACGAGTATGCCGAGTTTATTGTTTGTAAGTTGGCAGTCCTTGTCATGTATATAGGTATTATGCTATGTGATCGCTCGCAGAGTTGATAGCTTTAACGTCTAAAATGTCAAATGAAGAAGTCGATAGAAAGGAAAATTTGTGGGCAAAAGAAAGTATGAGTGCTTGAAAATTAGAACAGAATATGGCAAAAGCAAGAAAAAGGTTGTTGAAGAGAAGATTGCGGAGCCTCAACCTCCGCACACCGTTCGAGGGCATCGACTAATCGACATAGAGTACATAGTGCAAAGCATGCACTCTTTTTGCAAAGAACTTTTTCGTATTTTAGATTATCTACTGTGATCACGAAGTAATTTGCGAGAAATGATGCACTTCCTTATAAGACTTAAGCGTTTAAAGTGATTGCAGTTAGGAAAGTATAATACAATTTGAAAATAAATTGAAAGTAAATATGTAGTACTATACTGTGATACGATGTTAATACATCCAAAAACTATTCTAAAAAAATACTGAAGTTATTGAAATGTTAATTTTAAAATGAAAAATGATATTTCAAATGTAATAATTTATCAAAATGCATATAACGTATATAACAATAATAATATTGTTATATGCGCAAAGTATAAACATTTCATTGTTTATATGCTGCTGCATTTTTTACTTCTTGTATTGAAAGTTTATATACTTTATACATAAAACAGATTTCGAAAAAGATACTTCATTTGAAAATATCCCATTTTATTTTATTATTCCAAATAATATGATGCATTGCAACATAATTGAATTACACAAATAAACACAAGTTGAATGGCCAATTTGTGTATCGAAAGGTTTATTTAAATTTCCCGCCACTTAACCTCATTCATACTCTATTGCGCTGTTGCCGTTACTCCTTCGCGTTTATTACTTGGCGGAGGACAAGTAGGAATTTTTTATGTGTGCGGTACCCTACATTTTTCTTTCTCTCATATATTAATTAATGATTCTGGTAAATGTCTATATTTTTTTCATCTTACCATATGCATTTTTTCACACCTAATGCATTTGGCTGCATTTTTTCGTAGCACCCGATTCTCTTTAAACATGAAACTATTTTATTTCACAAAAATATAATTATATATACATATACTCCTAAAAATGTCTTAGTAGTGGTAAGTGAAAACAGAACGATATACTTCGTAACAAACTAGTAATTAGAAATTAATTAACCGCTTTGTTTATTTTTTGAATACTGGTCCAAGGGGAACAGCTTTTCCCAGACCGCGTACCGCTTTTCGTACAGCTTCTCCTGCATCAGCAGCTTTTTCCCGATGTCCATGTACTTCTGGTCTTTGAGGGTGAACGGCTCCCATTTCACGTTGTCCAATTGTTTCGACGGGGCTGGGATGGGGTTCCTGAAATTTCCAATTAAATAACATGTATACACATATGTAGATATATATTAAAAAATATTAATTGTATCTTTTATGTTTTTTTACTCATTTTAATTTTATTACTGTGTTATAAAAACAAGCTTTCTTTCTTAAATTGGTCCGTGACGATAATACAGACATGCATATGTTAATAAATGTGATTCAATAAATTTAACTCAGCAAAAAATTAAAAACATTCCGAATGGGAAGAAAGATGTAGTAATCTATTAATGTTAGATTCATGTCGACCTCTTACAATATGTAATTTTAACCTGTTTCCCAAAGAATCCTACAAAATTAAGTAAGCCCCTGAGCCCAGCACCAGCCGGACACTTCGTCAGAATGCCGTGGATGGGAGTAGACAAAGAGAATGCACGACAACCATAGAATGGGGTGGGGTCGCCCAATAATGAGTGACCCCACTCATTTATACAGGGTTCTTCACGGTAAGTGGCCTTCAGAGTCGTATTGTCTTTGGTTCACCTGAAACGTCTAATAGGCCACTTATCGTGAAGAACGTTGATATATGCCATTTCTTTACTTTACGGCCCCTTTTTTTCTTTGTACCGCGCATTTTTTACATTACGCATGCCATTTTTGTCTCACTTTTATTAGACACCCGCTTGTTTTTATATCACGCACGTTTTTTTTACTTTACGTCCGCTTCTTTCCTTTTCCAAACTTTTCTTACTTTCTACCCGCTTGGTTATTTTTTCCTGTTCCTGACTTCTTTGCTTTTTGATAACTTTTTTAATTTACGTTCGTCTTTCATATTTTACGCCCGCTTTTCAATGAAATTTCCCGATAATTTCATATTTCCACACACCTTTATAATATTTCAATGCATATAAGAATTGATTTTGAAACTTTAAACTTAACTTTAAAGTACACTCAGACTAAATGATCCTATTTTAAGTAAAAATATGTAGTATCTTACCCAGTCTTAGCGAAATTTGCATAAAGAGCCGTCAACTTTGACACCATTTGGACTTCTGTTGGAGGGCTCCCTATGAATGGGCTCGAAACGTAAATCAAATAAAAGAAATCGTCCTCATGAACGACCCCTGGAAAACGCGAAAAAATTACCAAATTTTTATTTATTTCCCCTAAAAAACTAAAAAAAAATTCATGAGATTAAATGAAGAAAAATAAAGAAAACCCGCTACACTGTAAAAAAAAATTCACTCAATTTTATTCAATACTGTGTATCAATTTCTGTCCACATCCAATTGAGTGAAATTTTCAGCCTATTAGTAGTGTTAGAATTTTACACAAATTCGAGTTTCAGCTAACTATCAATTGAGCGACTTTTGACTCTATTCTGAGTATATAAAACCAATTTAGAGTTGACTTTTTTTCTAATATGATTAAAATAACTATTATTGAGTCATTTTTTACTCAAACTTGATTTTAATTAACTAAATATTGAGTGCAAAAGTAAATCACTCATAAATGATTAATCAGATTTAGTGTTGAAATTAATTAGGCGCTATACAGAGTGTTTTGCAAATAATGGACTTTCAGATTAGAAGAGACATAAAAATAATGTCTCAAATCTACATTTTTTTTGATAGTATATATTAACCCTTGAAGTTAAGAGATGAAAATCGGTATTTTGTAATAACTTTTATGTAATTTATTACATTTGTATAATTTTTGGATAAAAGCCATGTTATTTGAAATTAGGTCTACTAATGTGTGCAATTTACTTAATAAATGCTTCCGTATTATTATCGTTTGAAGTAGTTTTGCACCACTATATATTTTCTAGAAATTTTAAATCAAATATTATTGTCATAAACTGCTAAACAGTCATGGTTGTTTCAACACGGATTTCTTTTAGAGACAATAATTTAGGTCTCGATTTGTTCACTAATCGGATAAATAAATTTCCATAACCTATATTGTACGTTATAAATTATAGATAACAATTTAACTATCCGTTTATTTAACCAAATATTAATCGAGATTTAATATATTGTCATTAATTATTGTAATTAAATCACTGCATTTAAATACAATTTTCACTAGAATAATCAGATAAACCGATACTTGTCCAGCTCCAAAGCACACCATACGCCATACTGCCATCCACCATGCCACGGTCATGAGATAATCTAATGGGACGATGGGAACAGACAAAAACAATGCATCTGGATATGAAAAAGGGTGGAATCGCTCAGTAGTGAGATTTACTCTGATAGGTACAAGTGCATCAAATACGAGTTTACGTGAAGAATTTATTTACGGAGTACCTATATTTGAGTGAAAGTACTCAGTTTTAGTTCAAATATAATCACAAATGAGTAAAATGATCAAAATGCCCAATATTGAGTGAAAATGTACTCAGTAATTTCACTCAATGAATACACTCCCTACCTTTATTGCTTTCACTCATGCCGATTTTTTACAGTGTAGGTACATTCCTTCACTTACCATAAATAATCTTATTATTGCTGCGTGGAGTGTAGAAATGGCTGTAGCGCCCCTGGTAGCTGAAACGGTAGTAATACACCGAAGCATTGCTGTGTTCAGCAATCAGTTTTGCTGCTCTGTTCACCCCAAATCCTGTTACGGAGTCTGCATACAGCTAAGTAAAAAAAAAGTAATTTATCACAAATTTTCAATGAAATATTTTACTGCACCTGAGCCAGAGGTGTGAGCTGGGACCGATCCACGGGTTCGTCTTGCAAATAGAACGTCTTCAGCTCCTTGCTGATGGATTTCGAGGTGTCCGTATCCCTTTCGTAAAGAAAGGCAATCGGAGCTGTCTTTTCCCATTCATTGTTGATCTGCTTGGTCAAGGTCTCGTTGTTTATTACAGCTGAAGAAAATCAGACGAAATATAGTCATTTATGTGGCTTTTAGTAATTCAATACATTCTCCTTTGGAGAGATGATAGGACAAGAAATAAGGAGTACATTTAATTCTAGCATGCGTTATGCAAAACTCAAATTGATGTCTAGAGACAGCCAATTTGATACAAAAATTAAACAGACAAGTTTAGGTTAAGCCAGGTTCGGTTTTTCACATACACTGTGAAAAAAAAATCACAAGTTCACTCAATTTTACTCAATTTCTGTCCACACCGGAACAATTTAACTGTCCGTTTATTTAACCAAATATTAATCTAGACACAATATTATTGTTTTTAATTATTGTCATCAAACCAATGCATTTAAACACAATTTTCACCATACACGTTTATTATAATCAAACTTCGACTATAATATTTGTTCATTAAACTAATACAATTTCCTTTTACCGTTTTTATTAATTGACATAAATAAAAAGAACAACAACGTAAAGTAGTAACAGTAAGTGACACAGATGACATAAAAGCGCAATTGACAAATTTTTAATCCCATTGCTTCTACATGACGATTATATGCAAGTCCTGGTAGACGTTTTGTAAGAATATCAGCAGGCATTATCTCCGTTGGTACATATTTCAACTTTAGTTCATCATTTTTCACCAATTGACGTTCAAAATGGTATCTTGTGGCAACGTTTGGTGCGTGAATGACAAGTAGCATTTTCTGCAATATACTTCGCTCTTCGATTGTCAGTTCCAAGATTTATTTTTGATAAATCAATTAAATCCAATTCCAACATTAAATTTCGTAAATATAAAGCTTCACGAGGTGTTTCTGACAATGCTACATATTCGGCTTCAGTAGACAAAATTGTAACTGACTGCTGCTGTTTCTTCGAACGCCATGATATTGCTATTCCACTTAATAGAAATATATTGTTATAATTCCTTAAGATATAGACATTTTTCTTAACTTAATTTTCTTATTCTGCTTAACTTCTTTGTATTTTATTTTCTTCTTTCTTGTCTGGGCGCCAGCTCACACGAGCATAAAATTGTACTTTAATTCAGATTTTTGTTTACTATGTTTAGAGAAAGCTTTTGTTTGAAAACAAATTAATTTAAGATATTTTCAAATTTTAATCTAACATGAGTAGTCTCACCTTAGGGTAAGGTTCTAAGAAGATTAGTAAACTAATTTTAAAATTAGTTGATTGACGAATTTAGATAGGCATTTAATTTTGAGAAGGCAAAGACAAAAAAATTTGTATTTAAATTTTAACTGACTAGTTATTCTATTACTTGTAAACAAAAATTTCTACTTTATTTAATGACTTGAATTCACTATATTTCCAATTAAATAAGATAATGTGGCTAACACTTTTTTATTTTACCAACATTAACCAATCTTCGATCAATAAACATTTTCTTAAACTACGTCCTACTCTAACTTAATTAAATAACAATATCCAATTATTTGGATTTAAATATTAAATTTAATACAATTTTGTTTTATATTAAGGTTTTATACCTTTCTATCACTGTCTAACGCGCTTATTTCTTATCCTGTTGGTCCTTTCTCTCCTCTAATCCTTTTCTGAACCGTCTAGCACAACTTCTGCCCTTGTCTTGTCATCTGTCATGCTATTCCTTGTTATTTGTCTTCTTCCTAATATTTCTTTATTACTACTCTCTGCTCGGTGTCTTTAATTAGGTGTGAGCGCACTCGATACTGGTTATTGCTCTATAACATTTAACTTGTTTCGTTATTGGACTTACTTTGACGTCTCTTGACCTTAATCTTCAATTGATTTAGTTTTTGTGATTATGTTTTCTTCTATTCCTTCTTATATATGGTTTTCTTTACTAACTACACTTGTTTCTTTATGGTTATTAAATTATATTCCTGTTTAAAATTCAAAATACAATTTCTTTCTTTTGCTGTCATTCCAATTTTTTTATTCTTTTCTTAGTTCACTTTCTAATTCTAGTAATCCAAATTTTAATTACCAATCACATTTGTAATTTCGAATATCTATATTTTATTACATTATGTTTCTTTAAATAATAATTTTTCGTACCTTGTAGATATCGCAATACACGTTTCGCTACTGGCCAATGAATATCTTGGTTCGAATATCAATTTTGTTTAACCAACATAGTCCCAGAATCATCCTTATCTCGCTGATTTTTAGCATCATATTTTTCGATCACTTTTTTCTCGAAGTGTATCCGGCTTGGGCAATTCATTTTGAGACTCCATTGCATATCTGAACATTTCAAAACTTGGTGGCAATGCGTTGAGAAGTAATGTTGATTGTAGGTGTATTTCGACGCCCATTGCTGACAGCTTGGCTATTATATCAAAAAACTCCATAAACTGTGTATGAAAATCATCATTTTCCGTTATCTTGTAGGAAGTTACACGTTTTAACAAACTTGACCTTTTTACGGGTCCGGTAGAAGCACATTCTGATTTCAAATTATTCCAGATTTGTTTCGAAGTCTTCAAGCATTTCACCATTCGTAATAAACTCGCATCTATTGCAATTAATAGATCTGATTTTGCTTTAGCATCTTCATCTTCCCACTTTTCAATATTTTGAACTGGCATTTCATCAACTTCCACTGGTACCTTTATTGCTTTCACTTACACCGATTTTTTAGTCCAAGAGACATGCGGACAGCCTCAAAACAAAGTGAATTCGACTGTCTCCAAATTCTAGCAAGTTTTTGAAAAATTTCAATTTTTATTCAAACAAAAATGAAATTAATTAACATTGGCACTGTTCGTGTTTCTTCATTGTCAAATTGCTGTATAATGTAGAGCCTTCATAAATGATTACATGCCACGTGACCAGTAGTTCTATTTAAAACAGCAATTAAATTTCGGTAAAATTAAAAATTATTAAAATAATAAGATCAAGATTACATTAAAACACAATATTATGTTGCACCGGCTGTGATTGATGTAATTTTTCACGAGGTTCTATTCAACCAATCAGCGATCGCATTATCTCGCGCGTAGGCGTAACGGTTTGTTACTGTTCATTGTAAACGAATCACCAATATTGGTTTGTAAACATTTATGAAAGCGTGTGTATTTTACTCACTAAACGCCCTGTATCCAAATTCATCTGCTGTTAAGCCAGTCATAAACGGCACTCTTTTGAATTGATCATTCTGTATGAGATAGATAGGATGATCCGTTAAAAATCGCGGTTGGCCAAAGTCAGGTTCAATTACAGCAGACCATATCATGACGGGGTCATTTGCGAATTCCTAAAAGAACACAGATATTCATTAAGTTCAAAATAAATCTAAATCTTCTACGACTTTCGTTATCATTTTCTCATTTAATTTTCAAACAAGTTTTGATAAAGTTATGTATGAATTTTAAATAAAGTTAATGTTTAGATTTTACAGACACCTATACATAAATATTTTACCTTAAATTTATGTAAAGATTCACTCAGTTCATCGAAAGGCTTAGTCTTGAGGCATTTTACGATATTGGCAGTGGTGTCATATGGACATCCTACAAATTTAGCCTGTTTTTTGGCCAGATCCAGCTGATTGTGTGGAATAGGCCAGTTGCCTAGAGGTGATCCACTCATCGCAACAGCTTTGTGGAACAGATCTATAAATTTTTAACTAATGATATTGTGGGAGACAACTACTCTGCGAGCTACATGTCTCATCTAGCACTGAATTACAGATTAGTAGGTTGCTCTTTTACAGTAGTGAGAAAGTATATTTTGTGCCAGTAGGCATTTAGTTGCAATGGCATTTAAGATACAACGTATGACGTAAAATTTATAGGTTAGGTTAAAAGTAAATACTAATTATTATGACAAAAGAAAATATCATTATACAAATTATGAACTTACTTTGGGACATCGGTGATACCATATGCAAGATAACGCTCATCGCACCAGCACCATAACCCATGATGGTGACACAATCTGGGTCCCCTCCGAAACTTTCGATGTTTTGTTTCACCCATTTCAATGCCTGGACCTGATCTTTCAAGCCGTTATTGCCTGGGGCTTCTTTGTCGCCGGTACTCAAGAAACCTATTATGTTAAATCCACATATCCTTTAATACATAAGAATCTAAATTTACTACAAAAAAATCTAATTTTTTAATCAATTTATTCGTCACATGAAAGGAAAAGTATGATAAAATTCCTCGAGCTTTTCATGGTAACCTTCCGCACACAATTTCTTATGGTATTTAAAGAAAAAATGTTCCTATAAACACATATCCGGAAGCTCTTAGATTCCGTGGTACAGGGTGTTGAAAATTTTAAAACATATATTAATATTTGAAATATATTTGGAACAGTCAATGTTAGCTGATGTACTAGGTGTTGCGAGTATAATTCAAAGCCGGTCGGGGCATATAGCCCACGGAGTAGTTGTTTCTCGCAACACTGGAAATTAAAAATATTGTATTTCGCCCTCTGTGGGCGGCAGTCGTGCAACAAAGTACCTGGCAATATAGCAGGTCGCTTCCTACTATAGCCATTTGAATGACACAGTTGGGGGTCTGCACGACAGATGGAGCCATTTGCGCTCCGCATATAGTCATTTTATTAGAAGATGTACTTCTACACGTAAGAGCTAATTTCTGACTTATGCACGAAGGTGTTCCAGCTCATTTCAGCCGTGTTGCTCGTCAGTACCTCGACAACACCTTCACCTATACTAGGTGAAAACTAGTTACGAATGATTCAAAGTTGTGATCTCATACAAAATTCTCCAGGAATTTTTGAATGAGTGAGTTAATCAATAATGAAACTATTGGAATCGTGCGTTTTATCAGAAGGTGGTTGCAACATTTTTATAAGAGTAGGTTAGTATTAGACAAAAATTTAAGACACCTTTTTTGTTGTAAAATATTGGCGTTCTACATTTTATGACGAAATACACAGCAACCGGAAAAATTAAATGTATGGGCTGGAATTTTCGGTGGCTGGTGGGTTCTTTTTTTCTACCTGGTAATTTGATTGGCCAAATGTATTTGCAATTACTGGAAGACGCTATTGACCCTGCCTTGACTGATATTATTGAAAATGTTCCAGAGTATGATGAAGATCATTTGATTTTTCAACAGGACGGTGCTCCTCCGCATTATGCGTTAATTGTCCGTCAGTATTTGGACCAACGTTTTCTACGGAATTGGATTGGGAGAAAAGGCAGCACTGAGTGGCCTCCACGATCATCGGATTTATCGCCCCTTGATTTATTTTTGTGGGGATACCTAAAAAGTTAAATATATAAAACACAGCTAGCGTCGCTGGAAGATTTGCGTCAAAGAATCGTGGACGAATGCCGTCGAATCACTCCGGAAATGCTTCGGAATGTACGCGAACGTTTCGAACAAAATCTTTATTCTTGTATGGAAGCGGGCGGTCATCAGTTTGAACATTTAATCAACTAAGTAGTAAGTAAGCAACTAAACATAATTTAAATTTTGAAATGTAAATTTTGTTCAAGGTATTGGGCGGAATTATAAAATTTAAAGTTTGTTGTAAAGAGAATTGTAAGAGCTTTCAAAAGAAATTTTACTCAACCCCCAATGCCATTTAAATATTTTTGGGTGATGCTTACCCTTGCTTGGGGGTGAAAGTGGCGGAGTCAAAAATACCAGCAAAGAATGCCCCCCTTTAATCTAAAATCGACGGGTCTGAACGTTTTTCTACAATTTTGACGCGGTTCCTGTAAATGGCTCTATTTCGATTTCATTTGGCCACCCTGTATGTTTTAAAATTTTCAACACCCTGTACCTCGAAATCTAAGAGCTTCTGGATATATGTTTATAGGAACATTTGGAACTTTTTTTCTTTAAATACCATAAGAAATTGTCTCCTGAAGTTACGGACCGTATTTAGGAAACACCCTATATATTTATTATGCATGAATTTTACTTGAACATTCCTTGGCACCAGGCTGCCATGGAAAATTCGACGAATTTTTGCATACTTTTTATTACAGTATACCTAAAGTTCCTAAGCGGTAACTGATGGTCACTAAGACAATGTCTTGGTCCACTAAATAATTAGGCCCAACCCAATAGCTGTAAGAGCCGCCACTGTAAAATCCTCCTCCATGTATATAGACTATTACAGAGCGTTTTGAATTTTCAGTACCCTCTGGAAGCTGTAAAAGTTGTCACGACGTTTATTACAACCTCTTTGGAGGTATATCTTAAATACTAACCTTGATCGAATACACATTTAATATTAAACAGTCTTCTGATACAGACTCCGTGGTAAGTTGTGGACAAACTGGGCCATCTTCGGTGGCATCGTATACGCCTTCCCATTTATCTACCGGCTCTGGAGGCTGAAAATATTAAATAAAATTGGAATTCGATTAATTTTTTCAATCTAAAAAATGACCCGATAGTACCCGAATACTCACTTTTATTCTCACAATGAAAGAGGAAGAGAAACTGGTTTTCAAAAAAAGAGTATCAAATTCCGGATTTAATTAATTATGTCCAGAAAACGAAACTGATTTTGTCTCATAAGTTCTCAAAAATTTACCGCCGCAAATATTTTCATATGACAATTTCTTCTTCCATTCCTTAAAATAACCAATATCGTGTCTGGGAAAACTTAAACTTTTGTCCACTTATCAGCTTATTGACATTGAAGTGATAATATTTGTTATAAGCGGGGACCGCCTAGCCGGGAGTCTTAGCCGGTGGATTTCGATCTGCCGAGGTAAGCATCACGGACGCAGGCTGGAATTTAGATGGGTGACCTAAGGCAGGCTCGGGGACGTGGCTGTGGCAGCCTACCAGAGACCTGGGTCGCTCAACATTTTCCGCATGCGTGTGGTCCCCGATAAATGGTAACGAGAACAGAGCAAAGAAAATCTCTGTAACTCAAGACCATGCTATCATACATAAACTGTACGAGACTTTGCCACCAAGCCACCCGTGTAGTAAATAGGATGGTTTGTAAAAAAGTACTCGAGTAATGAAGGAGGGTGTACAAGGGGCGGTGGAAAAACAATTGTACCACCCTCATACATACATACATACATATATACATACATACATACATACACACATACATACATACATACATACATACATACATACATACATACATACATACATACATACATACATACATACATACATACATACATACATACATACATACATACATACTTATTATAAGCAGACATTGAATGATAGGTATATGCATGCTAAATATTAAATGATCTCACCTTAAATCTCAACTCATTTACTGGTGCTTTCGCGTAGCGTATGCCTCTAAATACTGATATAGGATAGCCTAGCCTAGACATCTTAAATATACCCTTTATTTTGCCTAAAGGGGTAGTTACTATGGGGTTTATAATCATACTCCTCCTGTCCCTTTCATTGGCTTCAGAAAAAGCTAGAGCGTGGCCCAGAAAAACGATTAAAGCTACGTGTCTGAACATTCTGGAATATATTTATTATTGTTAGTTATAGATACACTATATTCTATTTTAGCGTTTCCAGGATTAGATTAAAATAATGATTATATTGCACCTAAATTTAATAGCATTTAATTCCTCATTTTTTTTGTACATTATCTGTAGTATTAGGATTTAGACTATTTATCACGCAACACAGACATAAAAACCTAACAACTCTACAGGGTGTTTTAGTCATAATGTCATTAATTCTAAAAGAATATAGAGAAAAATGAGTAGAATACGAAGAAGCGATTAAAAAAAATTAAAATTCATATTTACTTTGGAAATAAAAATGTTCAAATCATTATTTAAACCCTTTTAGGACCGCCCCTGACCGCTGAGTGAATCTTGACCTACCGTATTCAGTCACTAACCTAGCTTTTATTGTGTTTTTAATAGTGACGTCATATGAATGAATAAGATATTTTTACATTTTAAATATTAACAAATATTATTTATTTGTCAGTTAAAGCAAAGTGTAAGGATAATATTTGTTTTCGAATGTTAGGTTATTGCTATTTACGTTACGTTTTCACTGTTTTATAATTAATTATGAATTTTTAGTATTTATTCAGTTAATTATTCAGTTTGTAGTACGTATACCTTATATACCTATTAAGTTGGGATCCATTGCAATTTGATTTTGAAACCAACTGTAAGACGACTGAGAAATCAGCTGTTTTCTGTGGCGCTCCGAGTTAACGGTAGTTAATGGGTAATTTGCTTATTTTTTAAAAGGTCGAATAATTTTTTTTTCGATTTTCTGTCTTCGGCCTTCCGAATACGTGGTTAAAATTAATGACTTTATGACTGACCCTGTATAACCTTCAAGGAAAGCCTGAAAAAATATCTAATAAATATCTAATAGAATTCAAGGTTTTAACACCAATACTTTCATGTGCAATATATTGTATATATTGTATTGTATTGTTTATTATTTAGTCTATATGTCATATTTACTATATTTATGTTATGTTTTCCTTTATTTTGACTAATCTTATATAATATGTATTGTCTTGTCTAAAAAAATAATAAAGGTTTATTAACTCACACTAGTATTATTTATTATTATTTTTCTTACACGAATCACGTCTGCACTACGCAAACATAAGTGCATTACTAATCAAAGTGTTTTTTCGCGACTTATTTATATAGACACCTACATGAAGAGAGCTCTAACAAACTAACTAAACTGTAAGTACATATGTTCTTATTTATTTAAATTGAATAATTTACGGAGTGTTGTTCAAGTCCTAAACGGTATTTCCTGTAGCAGAGCAAAATTTGCGTTTCTGTTTTTAAAATGAATCGAAAAAACAATATTCTCTATAATTTTTTTAAATTTTATTATTTAAAATTATTTTTACTTGCAATTCAAACCAAGTCTAAAAGTTGTCTTGAAATTTAAAATTATTCTACACAAATGATAATATAAATTCAATACATATACATGGTGATTCAGACAAGATGTCATTAATTTTAGGGGGAGATAGACAAAAATGAGTAGAATACGAATACGCGATTTAAAAAATTTTAAAATGCATTATAATAAAATACTTATTTAGAATGACAATACGGGTAAAAAACACCCACTCATTCGAGTTGCGGTTTTCGGCATTGTCTTCGGAAAAATATCAGGAAAAAAGTTTATCTATTACACTTTGGGGCTGGATCGAAACTGCATTGCGGGTGCATAAAGTGCATCTTGGAGTGCATCAATTTTTCCGAATTTTCTAAAAATGGTAAAAATTGACTAAAAGTTGTAGAAATTTGTGTGCACGGGTTTTCGGGGTCGGAGATTCCGAATCTGACCCTGAAAAATATGCCCGACGGCCCTGGGGCCCCCCAGGAGGGCAAGGGGAGGCCTTCTGTAAAACATCGAATAGCTGAGTAAATTGCCTTCTAAATTTCCACTCGGGGGTTTTTGGTGTCGAGGATTTCGATTTTTTTTTATATCAAATATTCATTTATATAGTTAACACCCAGCCGAACGTGAATTAGCGGTCAGAATTGATAGTTCTTTTTCTAACCTCAAAAAACGGGTCAATTAAGGTCGGATATCACGAATTTTCAAGAAATAACAAATTCGCGCCAAATTTGGTGTCCGAGGGTTTTCGGGGTCGCTGATCACGGATCCGAGGTCAATTTAGCAAAATTCAAGCTGATGGATCCAAGATGGCCGGCCAAATTTTCAAAAAATAGATTCGCATCAAATTTGGTATGAGGGGGTTTTCAGGTTCACTGATCACGATTTCGAGATGAATTTTGCAAAATTCAAGACGGCGGCCGACCAAATTTTTAAAAAATAACACAAAATTCAACCCGTGAATAGATCTTTTACAGAAAAAAGAACAAGATATAGCCGAAAAAGAGTAGATTAACACATGATTGGGAACTCAGGTTATAAAGTAAAATATTACAAAATGAATTTCGCAATTCTGACCTCGAATACGTAATCAGCGACCCCCAAAAAAACCCCGTATACCAAATTTGCTGCGATTCTGTTATTTTTTTTTTGAAAATTTGGTCGGCCATATTGTATCCGCCATCTTGAATTTTGCAAAATTGACCTCGGATCCATGATCAGCGACCCAGAAAACCCCCGTATACCAGATATGGCGCGAATCTGTGATTGTATGAAAATTCGTGATATCCGACTTTAATTGACCCGTTTTTTTGAGGTTAGAAAAATAACCATTAATTCTGACAGCGGGGTCTTAACTATATAAATGAACATTTTAATATAGAAAAAAAAAAGTTATTTTTCCTAGCACTTTTTCCTGAATTTTTGCTATTTTTTACCTGTTTTTTGCGGTTAGGAAATTCCTGTGATGTGATAGCTCAATTCTGACACCGGATTCGTGATCAGGAGGCAAATATACTACAGATAACATATTTCATGAAAATACAGACAACTTTTCTTTTTTTGTGTGGCTGTGTTATTAGTAATCAAACCACTGCATTTAAACATAATTTTCACCAAAATAACCGGATTAACGGACACTTGTCCAGCAGCACTACACGCCGTGCACCATGCCACGAGATGAGTTAATGGGGACGATGGGAATAGACAAAGACAACGCACGACAACCAGAGAATGGGGTGGGATCACTCAATAATGAGGACATTTACTCCGATTTAGCTACAAGTGTACCAATTACGAGTTTATCTGAAGAATTTATTTAATGAGTACCTATATTTGAGTAAATGTACTCAGTTTTAGTTCAAATATTATCACAAATGAGTAAAATTATCAAAATGCTCAATACTGAGTGAAAATGTACGCAATCGATTCAATCTGTACCTTTATTGCTTTCACCCACTCTGATTTTTTTACAGTATATGTATTTTATATTGGCAAACGTAGTGGCTAGAACTCTTAGTACATCCTATATTTTAACTTAACAAATATTCAGTTTTTCGAGATTTTTTAGTTTTTTTCAATTTTGCCGCACTGTAAAAAAATCGGTTTGAGTGAAAGCAATAAAGGTTCGGAGTGAATCTATTGAGTGAACATATTGAGTACATTCACTCAATATTGGGCAATTTGATCATTTTATTCATTTGTGATTATACATATTTAACCTAAAACTGATTACTTTCACTCAAATATAGGTACTGCTTAAATAAATTCTCCACGTAAACTCGTATTTGGTGCACTTGTACCTAAATCAGAGTAAATGTCCTCATTACTGAGTGAGTTTAAATGTATATTAATTTCGAGTAATTTGAATGGAGCCGTGAAGATGGCACCACTTACACATTGCTTCTGTAATCTCGATCACAGTTATCGGGGCCCGTTAGATGTTCCAGAAAAGCGTGATAGCCAGGAGAACAGGCCTTAGCCGGCGACGGGTCTCAGCTGGCAGGTCTCAACCAGGACAGGAGGAGGCCCTCACGAAGCGAATTAATTTCAACAATGTATATCCTAATTAATCATTTATGATTAATTTTTGCACTCAATATTTAGTTAATTAAAAACCAAGTCTGAGTAAAAAATGACTCAATAATAGTTCAATTTAAATCATATTATCGCCACGGTAGCGCAGTCGGTCGAGAGTGCGGTGGCAAGTATTTCTCGGCTAGGCTTCCTACTTTGGTCCGGGTTCGATCCCCGGTGTCGGCACTGGCAATGTCGATGGATAATGGGTGTTTGTCCGCGTTTTTTCAAGTGTAGCCCCCTTCCGCACAAGCCTTTGGCTTTGGATTTGGGGTTTGTCTCATTTCTGTGGTGTGTTTTATGTTTTTTATTTAAATCAAATTAGAGAAAAAGTTAACTCTAAATTTTTTTTTGCCATATTTGTTATGTCTATGAAGGACGGCCACCGTTGTTTTAAATGGAAGTAAATTTCACAAAATGTATACAACACGTATACTACATTCGCGGTGATAGGCACATCGAAACAGATTTACTTCTCGGCCATATTTTTAAAATGTCGTCGTCGCTGATGACGAGCGTTGTCCATATTTACTGTTTTTAGGTGAATTTTCGAAGTGTAGCGAACAGTAAAGCATTTATACTAGACGTAATAATCAAATATTTACCTTCGGAGGTATTATAATGGGTAACTCCGTCTAGTAACAGCGTCTGTTCAAACATGCAGAGAACTTACTGTGGCTCGGAAGACAAATCAGGGAGCGATTCACTCGGATTCGCGTTCAATTGTCTTTTTATTGGGGGGAGAAAGGGACGGAACTGCGGCACGGCTCGCTTCAGTAATAAGGAAATGTTACATGAATACCGCTTGTTGAGCCCCTTCGAGGCAACAATGGACTTATCCGCCACTCGTGTATGTCACCGGGGAGGAATTAAGTGGAATTGAATGAGGCGCGATATTTAAAATTCATTTTTTCCGCGCCCCGCGGATCTTTCTCTGGAATAAACGGCTTCAAGCGAATCGCAATCTTAATTTTAAAGGAGTAACGAGTTTGAATAATACAAGGGGTGTTTCTTTCGGGGATGGTCTGACTCGGAATTTGAAACTAGTGGAATAATGACTGCTACGAAATGAAGGTTTTCCAAAATTTCAATTTGTATGCGTATCCGTACTCTGTAAAAAAATCACTCAAATATCACTCAATTTTACTCAATAATGTATCTATTTCTGTCCATACCCGACTGAGTGAAATTTTCACTCCATTAGTATGAGTGAAACTATTACATAAGAGATTAGTGAGTTTTACTCAAATCCGCTAACTGTCAATTTGCCAAAACATTGACGATGTTACCTTCATCTAAAGTTATCTGCCATGGCAAAATTCTGTGCAGAAATTCGACCATGTTCTAATTGATTTCTTAAAATTCTTCGTAAAATGTGTCTACTCATTGGTGGGAAATGAGGTATTTATTATCTTATGACGCTCTCTATGAATAAATAATAAATTTAGAATGTCAGCACTGGAATAAATGTTAACGTTTTCTTAACAATAAATGATACTCAAATAAACATTCACTATATGTGTTAAATTGACAACAATAAACTGCTGACAGATTAGGTGCTTGTTTTGAAGTTTCACTAAAAATTTCACAGCCTCTCAAGAAATGATGTGATATCCGTTGACCGCACGAAAAACAGTAAATACTTTAAAAACCAGAAGAGATAGATATAGGGAACCATTATACCCTTCGAAAGAGAACAAAATAGTTCATCAGGTTGCGCAAAAATATACAGATGTTCCATTAAAAAAAAATAAGTGAAGATGGTTTGAAGTTGACTAAATTCGGTATTAAATTTCTACCACCCTGTATGAAATTAAGTCATTTTGAAATTATGGAAGAGAAGCTTATAGGTTTAGTTAGGAACCCTATAAATTTTATCGCTCTAATTTTATTATTGTAAAATACACATCCTTTTGAATTAGGCAGTGCTTTTTTATTTTTTTCTGAAAAAAATTATGTATATCAAAAACGGTTAACNTCCGTACTCGTTAAAAAAATCACTCAAATATCACTCAATTTTACTCAATAATGTATCTATTTCTGTCCATACCCGACTGAGTGAAATTTTCACTCCATTAGTATGAGTGAAACTATTACATAAGAGATTAGTGAGTTTTACTCAAATCCTCTAACTGTCAATTGACTCTATTCTGAGTATATAAAACTAAGTTAGCGCTGA